TTAAGAACAGTGATAGGTCTGTAATTGTTAACTAAACTGGCATCTCCTGACTAATATTGGAGTTACAGATTCATTTTTAAATTTCTCTGGGGATATGTCTGTCCTTAAAGACAGATTGAAAATTGTTATTAATGGGGCACTCAATATATCTGAATACCATTTGTACATATATGAAGGGATGTTATCATTACCAATTGCTTTTTTGGTTTTAACCTTCTGCCACTTGCTTTAACTTGCGTCTCGGTGACCTGGGAGGATGTGTAGTCGCTACTACACATATCAAAATGTAGTTTCTCAGACTGTTGAAATACTGATCCAAAATCCAAATGTATCGGATATCTCCTGGGAACCACTAATGGCACAACCCTCATACATAGCCTCTGAAGGAATACCAGGCTTTGCACGCTTAGACCTTACGAAGTCCCAAAAGCTGCTGGGGTCATTGTTGACATTATGTTCTCATAATAGGCCTGACATTCTTTTGCAGTTTGGTGCTTGATTGTGGTTCTTAAGCCACTGCAATTTTTGTTAACCTCTAAGCTAGCTTTACCGTTCTAAATGAGTCTGTGAAGACGATTTTTTAATTTAATTTTTTTCTTCAGTGCAAAGGAAAAGTAAAATGAATAATTGCCACCATTATACGTGGCTCTATTTACTGTTTTTTTTTGGTATTGCTTAGTCTAAACATCCATAAAGCTTTCCATAGAATAAGTCAGTACATGTATTCACATCTTCAGCTTTCTGAAGATCTGACCAGTCAGCATCTTCTAACAGATTGTATAACTTATAGCAATCTCCTTTCGGGGCTGACTGTAAACATTACTAGTTTTATTTTTAAATACTATAGGTATAAACATATTCTGGGCAGGATGGTACAGATCCTCATCTAGAAGTGGGTCTTCACATTTTTCTATGTTAACTACAAACATATTTGACAGTATAAGATCAAGTTGCCTTTGTTTTACATTAAGCACAGTATTAATCTGCTTCAAATTGTATACTAAGTGACATATAAATCCGAACACCCAGTTTAAATGGTTTTATTTTAATAAAATTTTGTATAAGTACCTAATGAAGCATAATAAGTAAATGATAAAAATTTCAAAATGATTGCACTGCTTTAAAGCCCTTTGACCTTTAATAATGTGTGGATGCACCCTGACGTGCTACGCATTCTCCAACGCGCCTAGGCATGCTTCTGATCAGGTGGTCAATGTCCTCCTGTGGTATCTCATTCCAGGCAACCACCAACTCCTCTCGAAGTGCTTCTAGAGTCTGAGGAGGACGTTGCAAATTGAGCAATCTCCTACCCATCATATCCCACACGTGCTCAATTGGGGATAAGTCGGGAGATCTTGGTGGCCATGGTAACAATGTGACATCATTATGTTGAAAGAAGCCTATTGTGACTCTTGCAACATGTGGTCGGGCATTCTCTTGTTGGAAAGTTGGATCTGCCAGGGTGTCAAGATAGGGTAAACGATGGGGTTCTAGAACTTCGTGGATATAACGCTGCGCATTCATGTTACCTCTGATGAAGATTAAAGGTGACCTGGAACCATAAGCTATGTGTGATGAACATGTCTTTCAACAAAAAACTGTGGATTCCTCCTTTCACCACGTCGCCTTCTAACCCTGGCACGACCATCGTGCGTGCCTAAACAAAATCGAGACTCGTCACTAAGGACAATACTGTTCCATTCCTGATCCCAGAGTGACCGTTGTCTGCACCACTCAAGGCGATTACGTCGGTGTTCTCGAGTTAAAGGGAGGACCCAGTGTGGCCGGTATGAAAGCAAGCCAAAACTTCTTATTCGTCGGTAAACACTTCGCATGCCAATAGGTCTTCCGTGTTCTGCAAACCATTCATTTGCAATGGACCTGGTAGTGGAGAAACGGTCCCTTAAGGCCAATAATCTTAGGCGGCGATCTTCACGGTCTGTTGTTCTACGGCGGCGTCCAGTGCCCCTTGCTCTTTGCGTACGGCCTTCTCGAAGCCATGCCTGACAACACCTAACCACAGTGTCTACACTTCTTTGCACTCTAACTGCAATTGCCCGAAAAGAAAGTCCAGCTTCCCGAAGTCCCACTATACGGCCCCTATCAAACTCACTAAGTTGACGAAATCGTACAGGTCTCCGTACTCTAGGCATCGTAACCGATCGTAAAGGATGTCAAGAACCAAAATCCGCCAACGTTGCTTCTTTACTGCGACTGAAATATTTATTTTTAGAGCGTTAGTGAATTAAAAAAGAGCAGTATAAAACAGGAATGTCCAACTGATAAGGCTGAAAATTTTTTCACTTGTTATTTACAGTAAGATAAATACATTCACCAACTTTTATTAAAATGAAACCATTTAAACTGGGTATTCGGGTTTATATGTCACTTAGTATATAAACTCCTAAAATTATTCAACATCTTGCTATTTTCACATCCTTGTGTTTTCAAATGAATTGAAGAATTGCACATATGTATCACACTTTTCGTTTAGTGCAACATAAACTACACATAGATAGAACAGTTTCTTTTTAAAATTAATTCTGCCTAACAAACAATCCAGACTAGAGTCTTTTGGAACTCCTATTGTGACCAATTTCATGCTGAAATACTTCTTTCTGCCTATTAAAACTCCTCCTCCTCTTTGGCCATCACTTCTGCCATTGCTTACAATAGGATACCTAGAATATTTGAGTATGATTTATTGATTTTTGTTCCAAGGTCGCGAACATTTTGATAATAAGCTTGCAGATGTATGTTCTCTTCTCTCGCTTCCCCTCCGCCAATGTTTTCTTTGTTGCCCAGGTATAATGATGGGTGTAAGTCCATGTTTTGATGTCTCGGAGACTGCAAAACTAGGTGATCGGTGTAGCACCATCCATTGGAGATAAAATATCGTACGTTGTCTTGTTGATCGGGTTCCCTCTTCAGTAGTCGAGATGATTATAGGTGTCAACAATACATTTTTCTTAATTGTTAAACTAGTTGCTTGCAGATAGTTCATTATTATGGCCCCTGGTCTACGAGAACCGTTTTTGGCTTTCAACCACTTGATTGAGGAGTTAGGGTTATTTTGCTTGTAACGCAACACGTTCTTTTTTTAATATGGTTACTAAGGCTCTACCTGTTGGTTCAGCAGGCTTCAATACAGGGTGTCCGCAAAGTTGGGGTTTTCCTTTTCAGAAACAACTACCCTTGAAATAACAAAGGTAATGTGTAGTGAAACGAGGGCGACCAAGTAAAAAAAAATAAAGGAAAAAGTACTCGCTCTCCAGTTGACGAGACGGGCTAAGTACGTCTCTGCCCGAAATCATACCGCTCCAACAGAAAATGAAATCAGCTGAAGCGCTACCGAGCAGACGCAGAAACCACATTGATTGTCTTACACTTAATGGCACATCTTCTAACAAGGAAGGCAAAATGTTGCGTGAAAAGTATAGGTATTGCATCCCGTCCAATCGATTTGGGAGAATAAATGGTCCAATGAGCATACCGTTCACCATGCCAGCCCAAACATTCACCGAAAATGTTTGTTGAAAATGACGAAACATGAGTGTTGCGAAAGTTATTCACCCCATTACGCGTGAACGTAGATTCGTCTGTCACCAATATGCACTTCAAAAAGTCCGGATTATTGTCATGTTGATGCAACAACCACTCACAAAACCGCACTTTTGCTGGAAAATCGTCAGGTTGAAGCACGCAGCGTTTGCCACACTTTAGTTTTTGATACTTGCACTTCTCTAGCCACGTGTCTAGTGCTTGTTGTTTTTTGAAACGCAATCGATTATACGAGTTCGTTTACCTCTACACGCGTGACTGTAACCGTCGGATGAAGGTTGCATACTAACCTGACACACTGACCCCGACCCAGCTCTGCCGTCGGGTTGAGACCTTGTACCAGTCTGGGATATCCCGGCGGGTCGCGGCTACAGGACGGTATTCAGATATTTTTGATGGTTTAGAGCCATTTATCTTGGTTCCCTTAAGACATTGGTGTATATGGTACTAAGAAAAATTGCTTACGTTTTCAAGATCTACACGTCGTGTAAAGGAAAACCCCAACTTTGTACACACCCTGTATAATCACTGGCTTGCTAAGTTTTCCTATAACCCCTATAACACGTTTTTGAGAAAAATATTTAAAGTTCTGTGGTTGCTCACGTTCTTTGAGTTGAATACAACAACAACATAGTCATCTTGTCCATGTTATATTGTGTGGAGGAAAAGATTACTTGTCAAATCTGCAATCTCTAAATTAGGTTTCACAATGCCTTCAACTGATGAAATCCACTGTTTCTACTGTTCCTTCGTCTCTGGTGTGTACTAGTATATCCATGTTCCGTCGACGGTCACGAAACGATGCAGAAATTCCTCCGGATTGCTCTTAAACAGCGTGAAACACCTCTCTAAAGTGGTCTCACCATTGCAAACGCGGCACCCATCGCGCAGGCTGCTTTTTCGTGTTCAATATTTCATTCAGGATATGACCCACGCGGTCTTTGGAGATGCCTACTGACTCAGCTATCTCGCGCACCTTCAGTCGGAGGTCTGCCAATACGAGATCGCGCATTTTTGTCACGTTATCAAAAACTGACGTTAAAACTCGTTAAACCAATTTTTTAGAAGGAGAAAAGTCACCGTATACATCATTTAACCAGTCTTTGATTTCGCTGCGCGATTTCCCTTCCAAAAACAAGGATCGAATCACCGACCGATATTGCTCTTTTTCCATTTTTCTAAAATCCTTCCACACGAGGTCAAAACAAAGGTATGAGCCCGATTTGGCTGAAATTTTGACAGTAGCCATCTACGACTGTAATACTAGTAATTTTCTCTTGCGATAGTGGCGCCATCAGGCGGTGAGACTAAGTACTTATCGAACCGCCCTCGTATATTCATTTAGTACACGGCTGATTGCATCCCTTTTTGTATACGCACCTGCCCCTAACAAGTTTAAAACACCGCTAGGGCTTCACTTGACGATTCGTGTACATGTTAGGTAACTCATACTCTAGGATCGATCTAAGGTGGTAGTAAACGGTACCCTACGCGAAACTAATCTAAAAAAAGTTTGTATTGATTGTTTCCCTGGCAGCGGCAAATTATTCTGACTCACTACAGACCGGCTGATGGTTAAGTTTGTATCGTATACGAAATCCGTGATGGAGTAGAGTTTTTTGCTTGAAAAATCCGCACTTCAGTTTTTGTTCAGTGGAGCTAGAAATGGTGCGACCGAGGCCGGAAGTTAGGATTTGAATGCGTACGGTATGTCCGGTATTCGTTATGGTCGATCATCATCAGCTCATCTGGCAATGAAAAACGGGCATTCGTTTCATAAATAAACGAAATATAGTTGTGATCATGATGTCGTAGTGTCCGGAATGTGGTTTGACCGCCAATGTGGAGGTGACTTGATTTATGTGATTCCCTGAGGAGCGCTGAGCAAGGTAACTATGACCTATGGCCTATACGTTTTCATTGTGGTAGGTTGTTAATCACTTCGTTCAGCTTCTGTTGAGAAAAAATAGAAAAATGAGGCTATGTGACATCATGAACTAACTTGTGGTCTAGTTTTATTGTCAACGTGGCGATGAATAGGCATGAATGATTTTCAAATTATTCTACATAGTCTGAAAAAAGCATCTATGATCTATACTTTTTCTGTTATGGTAGGAAACATACGTAAAACAGGACGACACTTATTTTAAATCTAAAACATTTAAGAGTTGTGATTGTATTGAATACGTAATCATTGTGATCGCTGAAGCTTTCGTATGTAATGTAAGCTTTTTGAGATGACTCTCTATTTGTATATTTTTGGTATTCCCATATTGTATATTTTTACTTCCTTCGACAACTGGCAAGGAAGTATTGCAATCGCAAAAAATTGGGATGTTATATGAAATGTACATTACGAAATAACTTCTTATAACTTCAGAAGTATAGTTGGGATTTTGATGAAATTTTCAGACAAGGTCACTACTAGGCCAGGTATAAAAAAGCTTTGTAGTTTTTGAAAATCGGTTCAGTGGCGGCAGAGCTAGAGGCAAAAAGACTAAAAAATAAAAATCGCTCACACTTTTTTGGCGTTCCTTTTCAAAGAACAATTTGTAGGGGTTGCAACTAGAGGTTCGATGTTGTGAATTTTACGTTTTTAGTATTAGTCAAATACGTTCTATGATTAAGAGCTTTTGATCCCAGTAGCAACGGGAAAATTATATGATAAATATCTGATGTATAACGTGCTCACAATTCGCAATAACTATCAATTGTGAACGTTGCGTGCACGACGCGATGCTGCGTCGGCGTGGAGGCCACTGCTGACTGTGCGATGGGTAACAAACTCCAACTGGTAAATCTGCGGCGGTGTCGTCACTAACACACCGCTACAGGAGAATCAGACACAACAGCTCTTGTTGCTGGTGATTCAGGTGATAAAGTTTAGTGCAAAATAAAACTTATAAGACATCAAACACGGGATTGGTGTAACAAAAACAAGCTTATGTTAAATATTTAGAAATCATACATTATGCATTTTAGTACAAAAACTAACTACTCTCCTATCAAGATAAATGTTAACAACTTAGGAATTCGGGAGGAATCAAGTGCCGTTTTTCTAGGAACTACCCTGGACAGCGACCTTGCATAGGATCAAGAAATTGAAGTCTCTAAAAAATTAAATAAAGCTTTTTTGTATTAAACAACATCGATGGACCACGTTATGCATGAATTGACCAAGCGACAAATCTCTGTTTTTCAGGAGGATGAATAGACTTTAATAATGCATTAAAAATCAGTGCTACGATTGTGTTGAATGATTTGTGTTCTGTGAACAGAAAATGATATTACTTTTGGAGCACGAAGACCAAGCTATGAAGATCGCCTTGAATTATTCAACCTGACCTCATTCTCTGAGCGAAGACTTCGTGGCGACCTTATAGTTACGTTCAGGATACTTCATGGTTTGATGGGCACCAACCTCATGCATCTATATTGTCTGTCGCGCAGCAATCTACGCGGACACAGCTTCAAACTGCATAAGGAGCCATTTAAAACAACAGTCCGACAGTGGTTTCTTCCCAACCGCATATTCAACACCTGGAATAGTTTACCTGAAAGTGTAGTTGGTGCTACTTCAGTTAATAGCTTCAAAGTGCAGTATGATAACTGGAGGAGTGTACAAACTCTATAGCTATGAACTGTCTTTTTTTATTTTTTCTATTTGATGTATTTGTGTTACGTGTCCGTACACTATATTTACTGCATGAGCTTATAGTACTGTGTACTCTGCTCATCTCAATTATCATAATAATAATAATAATAATAATAAATGTATGTATGTAATCATTTTTTCAAAAACTCTTATACCTGAAACTTAACGAAATGAAATGGCCCTTTCAAAAAGAACGCTCATTTTTCCTTTGACATAATGACCTTGACACAATAATATTACTTGGTCATGCTATGCAAAATAAGGAATGCATTACAGAAGGATTCTTAATTTTTGTGTTTTAGGAATCATCATCAAATTCATTGAAAAATTAAAACTGCATAAATTAAAACTTTCTCGAACCCAAATAAAAAATTGCTTGATGTCCAAATGTTGTAGTGACCTCAATTTGATACTAATTCAAAAATAAAATGAAGCAAGGTGTAACCACACATTTTCGAAATTAATCAAGAATCTAGTAAATGAAAATGCAATACCTAACTAAAAATATATGTTCAGCTCTCAGAAACTGCTTTCTTCACAAAAACTAACATTTTAACCAAGGTAAACTAAAACAAAGATAAAGTGTTGACGTTGTTGCCACAACATGCTTTAAATATAGTCATTATGTTGCCGAAGAAACAAGTTGAATAATTTATTTTTTCTGGGTGTAACACTTTTAACGTCACTGAGTATATTATGGGCCACGACGAATAATTTTCGAGGCTGTATGTATCGATAGCTTGCCTGGCGAATTGTATGATCCATTTTGGTAAAAATCACCTTCACTGAAAAATTAAAACTACACAAATTAAAACATTCTCGAACCCAAATAAAAAATTGCCTGATGGACAAATGTTGTAGTAACCTCAATTTTATACTAATTCAAAAATAAAATGAAGCAAGATGTAACCACACATTTTCGAAATGAATCAAGAACCTATTAAATGAAAATTCAATACCTAACTAAAAATATATGTCCTATTCAGCTCTCAGAAACTGCTTTCTTCACAAAAATAACATTTTAACAAAAACTAAAAGAAAGATAAAGTGTTGACGTTGTTGCCACAACATGCTTTAAATATAGTCATTATGTTGCCGAAGAAACAAGTTGAATAATTTATTTTTTCTGGGTGTAACACTTTCAATGTCACTGAGTATATTATGGGTCACGACGAATAATTTTCGAGGCTGTATGTATCGATAGCTTGCCTGGCGAATTGTATGATCCATTTTGGTAAAAATCACCTTCACTGGTTTGAAGTCCGCGGTGTTTTTTACGAATTCCTTGTATATTTGAAGTTGAAAATCGAAGCGCTGTGTAACATAGGCAGTATCGATTAATGTTTACTATGCGATGGCATACTCTCATCTGCTAAGAGCCATAATAGTTTGTAGACAAGCCTGTATTGTGAACAGGGCATTCATAATTCAAAAAAAAAGTAGTGAGGTTAATGCTTAGACGTCAGTTCTGTAGGTCTACGTTCAAGAGTAATCATCTGCCAACACTTCCGGCAGTCTAAATCCTTTACTGTGCTCTATATGCATTCCACAACAAATGTAAGTTTGTTAAAAATGTTCGTTACAACACAAGAGCTGACATGAATTTGAGCAAACCATCACATGAATTAACAGCGTTTAATATAATAGACTTCACTCTGGGCTTGAAAAACTTCAGAATAACATAGTACTTGAAAAGTATCTTTTGTGGAGATGTGCCCCTACTCAATAACAGACTTTTTATGAGTCTTTCATTCTTTATTATAAATTATATATATTTTAACGTGTCTCTGGCTTCAATATGTTATTGTAACTATTTTTATTTAACTAATCTCTGTACCCTTTTTTCATACTGGTCTAATGTACTATGCATTTACTGTATCACATTTTAGCGTAAACTGTCAATAAACTACTACTACTACTTGATCCAGGCGTGTTGCCACAATGCTCTATTGAAACATCTTGAAAAATTATATCATTTGGAATACAGTAATGGAGCTGTCCAGCCCTTTTATATGTACTCGTATATCTTTTGTAGTTGTAATTATATGTAGTAATGTATCTTGATTATCCATGTACAGAATGCTGAATACGTACATTCTATGATATCCTTAAAGCAGATGGAACTGTCCAGACCTTTTATGTATCTTTTGGAATTATAATTTTATGAAGTAAAGCTTGTGATCGATCTTGATTATCCATGTACAGAATGCTGAATCCGTACAGTCCATAATTTTCTTATTATAGTAGATGGTATATATAAATATCAGACGTCAGAGAAGTCGTATGTCGTATGGATTTTATGAAATTATTGTTGAGCTGTTCGCAACTAAAATTATGTGTAGTCCTCGACAAAATGGAAATTGTCCACACAAAAAGACTCCACCGAATTGCATAACGTTCTATCATATGTATAGTAAAAAACGTTGAAATCCTATTTTTTTTTAAAGCACATGAGCTTGGAAGGATATTTCTGGTTGTAAGCCCTGTGATTTGATTTGTTCACGCTACAGTTGTTTTATTGCTTATCAAGGTAACTCGCAATTCACTCATATTTTTACACCAATCAATACTCTGTAACCTTACACCTATACTTGGAGTCCTCGAGTAGTGATTGTAATCTTGTAATTCTGTATAAATTTTAGTTTAATGAATTGAGATATTTGAGATTTACTCAAAAGAAATGAAAATAACAGATGAATTATATACTAAGTGACATATAAATCCGAACACCCAGTTTAAATGGTTTTATTTTAATAAAATTTTGTACTTAATGAAGCATAATAAGTAAATGATAAAAATTTCAAAATGATTGCACTGCTTTAAAGCCCTTTGACCTTTAATAATGTGTGGATGCACCCTGATGTGCTACGCATTCTCCAACGCGCCCAGGCATGCTTCTGATCAGGTGGTCAATGTCCTCCTGTGGTATTTTATTCCAGGCAACCACCAACTCCTCTCGAAGTGCTTCTAGAGTCTGAGGAGGACGTTGCAAATTGAGCAATCTCCTACCCATCATATCCCATACGTGCTCAATTGGGGATAAGTCGGGAGATCTTGGTGGCCATGGTAACAATGTGACATCATCATGTTGAAAGAAGTCTATTGTGACTCTTGCAACATGTGGTCGGGCATTATCTTGTTGGAAAGTTGGATCTGCCAGGGTGTCAAGATAGGGTAAAAGATGGGGTTCTAGAACTTCGTGGATATAACGCTGCGCGTTCATGTTACCTCTGA